CCCTTCACCACCAAGTACCGACCCATCCCGTCTACTAGCTGGTCAACCCAAGTCCAGTCCACCAATCTAGATATCAATATGCTCACACCCTTGGATTTGGAGAGCGGGGACTCAGCATGATACGCCACCGGGTAGTCACGATTGGCCAGCTTGGGAGCCGCGTCTCGTTTGAAATGTGTTTCTTGTATGAAGGCCACCTGTGCCCTAGCTCTCCACAAGTCAGATAGTAACCTAGAGCGTTTTTCAGGAATGTTGAGGCCCCTAGCATTCAGGGAATAGACTGAGAGCAGGGCCATGGCCTCCACCTACTATGTACCAGGCCGGACAACGGACCAGTATGGCAGGAGGGAAGGGAGGGGGAAACGGGAGGGCAGGAAGAGTGTGAGGGTGGGTGCAGGACAGAAGCGAGATGAGATAGCGCAGAGGGAGGGAAGGAGGGTTCTAGCAAGAAGAATCAGAAAAGAAGGAGAATGTCGCTGACAATGACTACAGGTCAGCCAAAAGTTTAAATTAGCGAACACCCCTGTGTGGGTAGGGCGTGAACGCTTGACCTATGGGGGTAGAGTGGTAGTAACACAGTGGTCAAAACAATAGCGGTGTTGGAGATGCATCGGCTCGGCAATCCAACCCCACAACCTCATCATAGACAAAATGAAAAACAGTAACGTAAAATGTAGCAGTCCCCAGTAACCGTGACTACCATGCCCAGGAGGGGAGCCGATGCCGCCCCCGAGCCCCCCACGCAGGGGCTGCTCCAAGGCCGCACCCGCTCCCCGCCATCCCACGCCTCTTAGGAGGCCAATATGCATAAACTTGTAAGGGGATATGAAAGGTATCCCACCACCCCTTTGGGTAGCAGGGACCAGGAGGCCCCCCCAGGACCGAACATTAGGTCCAGTACGGAGCCAGGAGAGGGTCCCCCCTGGTGATGTGGCATAACACAACAGCATATGAAGCATATCCCCTGCCGAAAAACAGTAAAACACACAGGGATTGCGACAGAAACTTTAACATATACACCTGGGGCTGCGACTCAGCATCCGTTGGCAGGGATCATCTGGCTTCATTCCTCACGTAGTGAGAGTCCATCAGGCTTCGCTCCGCGCGTGGGAAGGACATTGCGATATGCGTCGGCTGGGGCGGCTGCGGGACCGCCTCGGTCTGGGTGCTCCATGCGAGGATGGGGCGGGTGGCAACCGATCATCGGAGAAGTCCAACCAGTTCGGGATGGGAATGGCCACCGCCCCTAAGAAAGAGAACATATCCGGCAACTGTTGGGGATGATGTAGCTGGAATGGCATCCTCCTTCCTCACGATAAGGTGAAAAGGGTGTCCCCATCTGTAAGAGGCGTCTGAGGAGCGAATGATCTCCAGCAAGGGCCGCAGGGTTCTGCGCATGCGAAGGGTGTGTCTGGACAGGTCAGGCATGACGTTGATAGTCGCGCCATCAAAGTCCATCGGGCCCTTTTGCCAGGCCTGACGCAAGATTTCCTCTTTGATCCCATAAAAATGGACCCGGCATAAGACATCTCGAGGCGGGGAGTTAGTAGACGCCTGCGGGCGGGCCCCCAGGACGCGGTGTACCCGGTCCAGTTCCAAGGTCGCTTCAGGGGGTTTGTCCATGTAGTGATTGAGAATCGCCAGGACTGTGGATCGCAGGTCCCTGCCAGTAGTAGCTTCAGGAATACCCCTCAGGCGCAGATTGTTTCGCCTGTTGCGATTTTCACTGTCATCCAGCCTGAGGAATGCCGTAGTAATCTGTGTGGTCATCTCAGAATGGGCCGATTCCAGGGCTGACATCCTGTGAGCGAGAGAGGCTGTTAAATCCTCTAGTGTGGACATCAATAGCAGTCACCCTCTGCCCTATCTCCTGCACTTCATGCCGGAGGGCCGCCACAATTGTTGCTGCCATGTCCTCTAAGTCCCCCTTAGTGGTGAGCCTCGGGAGGATCTCTCTCCAGTCTCCCCCCCTCCAGCGTCGGGCGGCTGCCCGTGGCCGTAGGCTGAAGAACAGGTGAGGGCATGTGGACCGGTCCCGGGTCAATTCTGAGGCTTCCGCCGGAGGAGCCGCCGCCTTGCCCCTTGTTTTAGATGGCGTGGGGCCTGCTGCCATGTTGGGCGGCCCACTTACCCGAGCCCGAGACGTCAGCGGGGGCGAAGAAGCCTGTCAGGGCTGACTTTTTGTGGGGGTATCTGGAGGAGGTTTAGATCTCTAAATCAGAAATGTATCAGACACAGGTGGAATTTTGGAAGAGGTTTTTTGATGATGTCTTTATTATCTGGAAGGGAAATGCACAACGTTTACAGAAGTTTGTGTCATATCTGAACGGTATTTTCACGGGTATTGTATTCAATCCTTTTTTGAAAGTATTTGCACATGAACGCAAGATACACACTGCCATCTATACCAAACCAACGGATAGAAACACGATCTTGCACTATAGTAGTTCACATCCTAAACACCTTCATGACAACTTGCCGATTTTCTAATTTCTTAGAGTAATGAGGGTCTGCTCAGACCCTGATGTTTGTAAGGCACGTATTGACAGCATGCGCCAGAAATTCCTCCAGAGAGGGTACCCTAGTGATGTTGTCAATAGAGCCCTGTTACAAGCTAGAGAGAGATTGCGATCCCCAGCTACCCCTAAAGATATGGAGAGGATTCCATTTACACAGACATATAACTATCAGATAGCATCAATAGATCCACCACTGGAAACATGAACATTTTATTGGCCGACAAGGTCCTTGCGCGAGTGGTTAAAACTACACCTCTACTTGTATACAGACGCAATAGAACACTACGGGGTCGTCTGATCCAGGCAGATCCTAAAGAAAAATATGCTAGGAACATATTTAGAATGTCAAACAAAGTGGGCTGCTTCAAAAGTCATAATTGTAACGCACTTATCATGGGTGATTGCTTCCTACATCCCCATAATGGGAATATATATCGAATTAACGGTTATCTCAATTGCAACACTGAGATTGTCGTGTATATGCTCAAGTGCCCCTGTTCATTGGCCTATGTTGGTAAGACCAACGGTCCTTTTAAAAGGTTTTAAAAACATTGCAGTTATATTAGGACCGCTTACAAAAAAGTAGCCTTGAGTGACGAACTAGATTCGAATAAACCGGTTGCCGTCCATTTTGTCAAATGTAGGCATCAGGTACATGGATTTACGTGGGATGGCTATTGAGTATATACGGGCGGACCATAGGGGTGGCAATAGAGACTTACATCTTTTTGGAGAAGCTTTTTGGATCTTCACCCTAGATACTCTGAATTTGTGGGGATGTCACCTGCTGTCATTGATCAGCTGCTGGTGACGTCAATGTTAATTTTTCTAGATATTCCTGTTACTATTTGTTTTTTAACAATGGATTATAACAATAGCTTGGGTATTTATGGTGTCTTTTATTCCCTTTCCCGCACACATGTTATCTCATCTTGGTCCCCTTGGGAATCTTTATCTCCTTACGGATATTCTCCATGTGGCATATGACAGCAGGGCGGTCGGTCGCGCCATATTATTGTGGTCATTGATCATGCTGATCTTCCCCCCCTATAGATACTCATATTGGGTGGGGAAAGTATTACTGCACTTGGGGGCTAATTTGAGTAATATTGCAAATATGACCCTTCAATTATATGATCCACCAATTATGTTAACTTTGTTGCCTGTTTCCTATTTATGGATTATAACTATGGTTGTCCACGAGTTATTGTAATTTGTGCTGCTATAGATTTCTGTGTTGGTTCTCAGTGGTGGCGTTATTTGGACCCGCGTCTCTAGGCAACATGGGGGTCGTTTGGTTGCCCCGCTGTTGATTGGTCACAGGGCTAGGTCATGGAACGTGCTGCGGCGTGTGCATGTCGGTGGTTACCGCGCATGCGCCTACTTTGCGAACCCTCTCTCAGTAGCCAATCTGTACAGGCGAGTCCTAGCTCGAAGTCTCCGCCCATCCCCTCACGATCTCATGTGTGAGGGGGACAGGGCTAAGCAGGACACAAGAGATCTCTCTTTCACCATGTTGCCTTATTGATGCAGCATTGAGACCTTCACTCTTGTATCTCAGGTATGCTCATGATCATTATGTCAAGGCTGGGTATGTTTGCATATGATTGGGGGGAAGGTGCCGTCACTATGACATCAGAGAGGGGTGGATACTACACTTTGGGTGTTTTGCTGTCGCTATTATGTAATTAAGTCACTGAATATCACTGTGGTAGCTGTGTTGTAAAGTAGCAACCCCTCCAAGTGAAGGACAACCCCCTTCCCGTGAAGGACAATATCAATACAAATTAGTAGACTAAACGAGAGATTGTAGGTCATCACGAGAGGGAGCTTGGAGTGGTGGGTACTTTACAACACACACAGTGGGCATTAGGAACAAAAAGTAACCACCCTCCCGAAGGAAGGACAGTGTCAGCACGAATTCAGAAATGATTTGAGAATCTACAGCTGAGTAATACACAAATAAATATTAACAAAAATATAGCTTAAATAGGTACTTTAATCCTTTCGAGTTGGCGGCATCTGGAGCCTCTCATCCCTGCCTGGAGCGGCTCCAGGCAGGGATGAGAG